GCTTCACTGAGTTACGCAAGCCCCTTCGCCACGACAAGGCAGTGATCCATGAAGGGGCCCAATGTGTTAGATCCAGATTAAATTAGCCATGTTTGAGTCCCACTCAAATCTATGGAGTTTAAGTCAGCGTTTCTACCCTAAGCATTATTTAAATTCAATACAAATTAAAAGAAACCAACACACAGTTAAGATTCTGATCTCTCAGTAACTACCCAGTGGTCTGCAAAGTTCATGTTATTAGCAACTTACAACAGAATCACGGGCATAAATAAGTTATGGATGTTTATAATGAAATAGGGCTATCATTCACTAAAATGCTAATGTTGAACTTTTCTATATGTATAGATATCCATGAATATATGCACTGTATATTTTTGTTTCCTTTTTTAAGATTTTCTTTTCTTTGGAATTTCTTCTTTATAGGGCTGTTGTTATTGTTCTCTCTCTTTGTTTTTTGTACTCAATAAAAAAAAAAAAAAAGCAAAAAACCAAACCAAACCAAAAACCTTTCATGGATTATGCAATTCTTACCATAACTATGTATTTGCATGTTGCCAAGCTGATTTGTCAGCTGTACTGTAGACCGAGGAGGGCTATTTGGGTAGGACTGTAAAGAGTGATGGTAGGAAGGATAAGAAGCTGGAGAAGCTGGAAATCTGAAAAGAAGAAAAATAATATTACGGAATCCCAGGAAATCACTATACAGTATGATATACTGCTCATAAACAACTCATAAACCAAACTGCCCTGAATTATTCCTGCAGGCTCTGCTGAGAAAATATCGCACATAAAATGTCTAGGAAGCTAAAAAGAAGCTTTGTCTGTAGCCACATCATGATTAATTATTATTTATAGGGGAATAATCCTGGGTGAGCCAGCCTCAGACATATTCTTTTGTCCCTTTTATTTTTCCTGAGGCACCTTCAAAATAAGAGGTTTTCTTCCACGTCTACTAGTGACAGTTTATCATTATGTCTAAACCCATATAAACCATTAGCTTTCTCTGTGACTTACTGAAACAAACAATAACTTTGATATAGCAGGGTTGTTTCAATAAAGCATAACTGACATGAACCACTGTCGTAAAAGTGCTTAATACCAAACTGCAGCTAATCGAATGTCGAAGTTTCCAATCTCTTCTTCATGGCTGCTCAACAGTAGAGAGTGCAAGTCCTAAGTTCACCAAGACTCATTCTCAGGATAATAAAACACAGTTTATCATTACACAGGCGCTGTTTTCTGTTAGAAACATTTTGCACAACTGAAATTTCTCTTCTAAAAAAGGCCTCCATTGTGACATTATGTTTTATATACACAATGGAATCTGAGCTAAAACTATTAGCAGTATTTTTATTAGGAGGCTGAATAGTAGTAAGCAATCCTACCAGAACTCTTCTCCAACCTAAACAGCGGGGAAGATAATACATGGAAAGTGTCCTCTTTTCATATTGCAAAAAAAATGAGATGGAACGGAAGAGGTACTTTGCAAACAACTTATATTAAACCCTATCTAATGCAAATGATCTCAGTTTGCAAGAAGTGAATATTTCCTATGAAACACAACCATATACTATAAACAACATTACTGAACAATTCTGTATTTAAGGTTCTTCTCCTTTCTTATTCTTTCTGCTCTTTCATTGTTGATCATCGTTCTTTGCAATTTTTTTTATAATCTGCAATGGAAACACATACATCTCACATGTACTCAGAAAGCTGTAGACTGGACAAAGTGAGAACTGCTTCATACAAGTCATGCTTTGATTAAACATGGTTTATTGAATAAACCACAATTTGGCAGGTTTGAGACAAGAACAAGCCCTAAGCCATGGTTTATAAACCACTATGAAAGGATTTACAGAATTTGCTAAGCTAAGACCAAACAATCACATTGTGACTTTGCATGATGCAGAAGCCTGAGTAATCACGAAGAATACTGTCTTAGAGTAGATTTTAC